ATATATGCTCGCCTCGCTTCGGCTCTATATATGGAGTATATGAAACCCTATTGATTTATCTTTTCAGTTTCTGTGAGGCGCTGTATAGTGGAGTGTTGTTCCTCGTTGCACACCGAGGAACTCAGCTCCTTCCCCCGTCAACATTTACCACAAACCTCAACGATACTCCTTTTTTATGTATATGTATGCCTTATAAAAAGTGAAATTATTATATAAAATGCAGTATTAACATCTCTTTCTTAATTACGCTCGGACCTCGTGAGGAACTTGGACGGGTTTCGCTGCACGAGGGTTTGAGCGATGCCGTTTGTCTCATTGCGTAGAAGGCAGCATTCCGACTGAATTTAAATTATTAGTTAAACAAAAAGAATTAAATTTATGAACAAAAATAAATCGAGTAGTAGCGGCGGTAAAGCCCACTTGTTTAGGTATTGACACGGTCCTCGGCGCAAGCCCCATGGGGCCTATGGCACCCATTAGCTGGAAACGGGCGATCAGCATGTTGTTGTTAGATATAATTACGTTGATTTATTTTTGTTTACATAAAATCGGTCAGTATGTTCACCTCGTTTCTACTTTTATGTTTGCTTTCCTGTTTTCATCGTCGTGTGCACTCCCCGCCGGTAGCGCCCCATGATATAGCATGAACGGCGCCAGCGATATTCTGCCGCTGCATATGTCTGTTTTCTCTGCTTACTTTTCATGAATGTTGCTTCCCTTTTCGCCAAAGTAGCTGCGATTAGACACTTGAATTACATCATGAATGCCGATCTCGGGATTTGAATTGGCTGCAACGACGGCAGATCAACGCAAGAAAGCCGGAGCATCAGAGGGCGCTGATTGCCTCTTTTGCGTATTTATATTCGCGCAACATTCTATTTATTAAGCGCTGCCTTTGAAATATGACGAGGCGAGGAGGAGCAGCGGCAGAAGCCGTACCTATATCGTATACACCCGCAGAGTTTGTACCTAGCCGCATTCTCCCCCCAAACAAAGCCGTCGCCCTTTCTCTCATCAAGGCAAGTTTTCCTGGTGCAGTAGCAACAGCAAAAACAGAAGGAACAAACTGCCAGGATCTCAGCAGAAATAGGCGGCAGGATAGCAGCAGCAGCAGCAGCAGCAGCAGCAGCAGCAGCAGCAGCAGTCTTAGTTTACATATATTGCATCTTTAAGAGCTGCGAAAGAAAGCTGTGAAATACTGTGTTGCTATATGTGTCTAGAAGGGTTTATTTAATTGTACAAGCCCAGATTATGTTTATAATATAATATATAATTAAATTATATTTCTTTATTTCTTTTTTGTATTCAACATTTTTCCTTAGGTACCAAAATTTGTAGCAGAATCGTGGCGGTCTTCGCCTCTAGATTCTACGGCAGGCGTTTTAATTGAAAAGGATGGAAAGGTAAGAGAAGTATTTAATTTTATTTTATTTTTTATTTATAATATCTTGCTTACTCTAAATTTGTTTATCAAGCTCAGTGATAGCATCGTTTATCTATAAGGAATTTTTTCTGTATTTTTCTTATGGCTCTTTCTGAGCATCACATGCCGGTGTGTGTATACATATCCCGATATTTTAAGCGTTTAATATATACTTTTTAATTTTATTTATATATTTCTGTTTGCAGCAAACTTTAGTAGTTCGTGATCCTGAGACTGGGGGCGCGTGTTACTTGGATTCTATTTGGCTTTCTAATGATCGTTCTGTTATCTTGCAAAGAAACGGAAAACATTTGCTTGATATTATCGGCGAAATTTCAAGCAGAACTAACTTTCAGCCAAAGCTTGATGGGCGCTATCAACAGGTATATATATATATATATATATATATATATATATATATATATATATATATATATATATATATATATATATTATATATATAATATATATATATATATATATATATATATATATATATATATATATATATATATATATATATAATTGTTTTTCTTCTTTGTTGTACTTTGTATTTTTGTTTACTCTTTGTGGCTTTCTGAGCAGTAATATGAACGTTTTCTAGCAACAGTGTTTTGGTTGTTTTGTTTCCGTTTTATTCTTTTCTTTCGCATGTATTTCTCTGTTGCATTTAATTTCTCTTTTAATGATTATAATGAATATAAAGCATTCTGGCTAGCACCAACAATCAACAGACCTCGATTTCCATCACATTACTCAGTAGTTTCGTTTGTGTTTCTTGTTCGTATGCGTGTGTGTGTGTATTCATGTTTCTGCTTGTTTTGTCTGTTGGCATCTGCGTTTTCCTGTACTTTATTTTGTATATTTCAGTTTTATTTGTCTGCTTTCTTGTGATGTTTTCCTTCTAAGGTGCTACACGAACGCCATATCGCCGAGGATATGAACAAAAGTAAGAAATTTTTGCATCGTAGTTGTTGCTGCGTCATAGATAGCATGTTTCTCGTTCAATACCTGTTATACACCCTAGGAAAAAAAATAAAATTTGCTTTTCATTGAATATATACATATATATATATATATGTATATATATATATATATATATACACTGCGTTTTCTTTTATTCAGGCCGCGGCACAGTCGCAGAGATGCGCAGAGACCCAGGGCTCGATAGTCTTCATACGGTAAAGAGACAGCATATACTTCAGTTTTAATGCATTCAAACGTCTATATATATATATATATATATATATATATGTGCTGCTGAGGAGTGTAAATATATATATATA